ACACACACCACACACAACACACACAACACACACCACACACCCACACACCCACACACACCCACACACCCACACACCCACACACCCACACACCCACACACCCACACACCCACACACCCACACACCCACACACCCACACACCCACACCCACACCCACACCCACACCCACACCCACACCCACACCCACACCCACACACACACGCACATACACACATACACACATACACACAAACACTGCTAGTACTCACCCCCCTTCTTGGACGTATGGCGCGGTTCGGGCCATGACGCGGGCCTCCAGCGGCCGTTTGGGGCGATTTGGGCACCCCGGGAACGCCCTCGACGAGGCGCAGCTGCTGGGAAGCATCCGGAGCCGAGAACACTTCTAAGACCAAACGCAAACGTCCGAAAACCCCTCCAGGACCCTTCTTCCCAGACGTGCAAGAAGTGGATTTGTTCAATGGGGTTCCCGAAGTCCGGACCTCTTTCCCGGGGCTGTTTATCCTTCGGGGGCGCGCAGACATGGATTAGCGATCCATGGATTTTGCGCGCGGTCGCCAAACCCATGGATCCGGGGAGGTGCCTTCCCCAAAATGCGGCCGGTGCTGCCTCCCCCGGAGGCGGAAATCCGCGACTTCCCGTGGAAATGGGACCCGTCGCTAATCCACGCCCCCTTGATCCATGTTGGCGATCGCCTGAGTTATTCACGGTCCTGAGGCCCGGCGAGGACCCCCCGAGGCCGAAAACTGTAGTAAGACACCTCCCGTCGTGCTTTCTACCACGGCGCGAGCTTGTCTGGGTTGGACGCCCCCCGGTCCTTCTTCGGGCTGAGCCTCTGTGCGGCGCCCAGGCCTGCCTGTGGAGACAGAAATGCGCGCCTGTCAGAACAATCAGGACATGTGAAACAGATTCAGAAATAGTCAATACAGCACGGAAAATTGTGACCAGACCATTGTTTTTCTGGAGTGTTCCTCCTGTAGAGTAGAACCATGAAGTAGGCAGGCGTTGGAAGCAGCTTGGGTTTCCGCCCGCCCTCTGGAGACGAAGGAAAAAGGAAAACAACTCGATCGTTGGATGTAGGAAGGCGCCCACATAGAGGCCTCCTAGATGGGGTCCGAGCAATGGGGTCGAAGGATCTGCCGCACCGCCAATGCCTCGCCGATGCGTCGCTGATGCGTTGGGGACGTCGGCGTAGGGAAACACTGAAGGGGCCCTGGGACACATAAATAAATACACACAAATAACAAGATTCCCCATAATTTCCCATATTTTGGGGGTTAAGGTCTCGCCTCCATATTTCCCAGTATTTTCCGGGAAATCGACGAATAATTGTGTATGTGTGTTTTTTTCCCTCCTGAAACAGAGGGCTCCACATCGAGCCGCATCGTCGATGCACCGGCGATGCGGCACGGCACTCCGACCCCGTCTGCCTGGACCCCGCCCGGGAAGCCTTCACCCGAGCAGCAGGAAGGCGCCTAAAGCAGACTGGAATCTGGGAATCCAGACATGCGTACCTTCAACGATCGGTGGGCACGGCACTCACACTGCGCACGATCGATGGAAGCATCGATCGTGCTTTCAGCGATCGATGGAATCATGCGCACTGCCGCTGCTGGCCCTCTCCGGCGTGTGGTGCGCGCCGGGGGCGGCGCCGGAGGCGCCACCCGGAGGGGCCCGGGCGCTGAGCCAACCCGCATCCGCCGACACGTTCCTTCAATCCGCGGCCACTGCTGGGCCTCGACCACACCCTCGGGAATAGTTCTTCGCCCCGGGGGTCCTTTCTGATGGTCCCAGAGGCCCGATGGCGGCTCCCAGCAGCCGGGATCGAAGATACACCTCTGGATGGGGACAATGATCCAATCGTCGGGGATCTGGGAAGAGCTTCGCGCGAAGCTCCAAGAAGATATGTTTATGCTCTGGATGGGACATGAATCGCTCCCCCCCTTGAAACCACGGAGGGGGTTGGGCACATGCTGTCGGAACGGGTGCAGGGGGGGAGGAATATGAGGAGGAGCAGGAAGCAAAGGAGGAGGATGCAGGGGTGCGTTGGCAAGATCCGTCGAAAAGTAAATCACCCACCACTTGATTGGAGGCCTCCCAAACGTGGGGCCGCGTAGATCGGGCCGGAGGATCGCGATGCATCGCCGATGCATCGCCAATACATCGTGATGCATCGGCGACACCGGCGGTGCATCGGCGACGTCGGCGTGGAGGGGATCGGGGCTCCACATCGTGCCGCGTCGACGATGCATCGGCGATGCGGCGAGATCATCCGAGCACGTGTACTCGGACCCCAGTCGGGAGGCCTGGACTGATAAGAAGAAACGCGCAAACATGAATAGAGGGCAACAAATCCACCCCCGTATTAACCACCCCGACAAGCGAGGCCGTTAGTAGACGCACCGAAAGGAGAAATCAAACAAGGCCAGGCTGTTTCGCAAACGCCCAAGGCCGTTGAGTCAAACGCCAATTGCCAGGGCCGGATGCTTTCTCCCCCCTTGAATAAAGTTCCAACGATCTGCCCGGATTTCTTAGATCTGCGCTAGACCCCCCTGGCGGCGCCTCTGACGCCGTCCGTGGCGCGCTTCGGCCGCCAGGGAGGGGGGTCCAGCGCAGTTCCGTGGCCCCCGTGTCTCTTCCCTCGACATTCGGGAGGCCTGGACTGATAAATACCTCATCCAGAGTACTGCCTCCGAGGTTATGATCTTCGTTATAACGACGACCCCGAAGCCTCGACGCATTCCCCAGGCCTGACACCGTTGCGTTGACAATCCCGAGGCCCGGTAAAGGTCCTCCCGAGGCCGAAGATTGAGAATCAAAAATCCCGTCTGGATTTTTCCCAACCGTCCTGTGGTGTTAGGCCCTCGTTTTGAACAGACAGCGCCCCGCGCCACACACACTCCCTCCCTCCTGCCTCTCCCTCCTTCCACCCCTGCCTCTGTCCTCCGCGTATCCGTTCCGCCACACCGTCACACGCTTCGTGGCCCCGTGGGGTGCTCCACCGAAAGACCTGGCGGAGGGGTTTTGAGGTAGTTTTGATTTTTTGTCGAAAATCCCCCTGTAGGGGGACAGGCCCGACTTAACACTCGTTTCGTGGCCCCCTAGAGAGCTCCACCGAAGGCCTCGGCGGCGGGGTGTTCGCGTGCGGCGCCCCGCACACGTCGGCACACCCCTCACACGCGCTCCGTGGCCCCCGTAGGGCAGCTCCACCGAACGCGGCGCCACAGCGCGGCACTCGTAACTGCACACGATTGGGTCCTTCGCTGGGGGGAACTCTCGCCCGCTTTCGGGTCCCGAGGCCCTCGCAGATCGATCCCGCTTGAAAAACTGGCGCAGCAGAATGGGGCACATAGCTCCAGTCGTGATCTTCACGATGTTGCAGTTTTTTCTCGGCGGTGGACACACCTCCCTCTAGTAGACCTCCCTTAAGTGAAAACCGCCTGGGACCGAAACCGACGGACCTGGACCCGCAAAAATGACGGCCCCGGCGCCCCCTCGCGAATTGGAAAAGGCCAACTCACTAATCGACGTGTCAGGGTAGGACGTCTGTCCACCCCCGATTCTGTCGGGGATATGCAAACATGGATTAGCGACCCATCTTTCTGGCGCGCGGTCGCCAAATCCATGGATCGGGGAAAATGCACTCCTCAGAATGCGGCCGGTGCCGCCTCGCTCGGCGGCGGACATCCGCGAGTCCCCACGGAAACGGCACCCGTCGCTGATCCACCCCTCTTTAATCCGTGCTGGCGGTCGTCCGGTTCTTCACCCCTCCTCCTCCTCCTCCTCCTCCTCCTCCTCCTCCTCCTCCTCCTCCTCCTCTTCCTCCTCCTCCTCCTCCTCCTCCTCCTCCTCCTCCTCCTGCGTTTCCGTCTCTTCCCTACTCCCTCCCCTTGCTCCTCCTGCTCCTTCTCCTCCTCCTCCTCCTCCCTCCCCTCCCTCCCTCCCTCCCTCCCTCCCTCCCTCCCTCCCTCCCTCCCTCCCTCCCTTCTCCTCCTCCTCCTCCCTCCCTTCTCCTGCTCCTCCTCCTCCTCTGCATCCCTCGTCTCCTCGCCTTCTCCAAAGGTGTGTGTGTGTGTGTAAGTGTGTGTGTGTGTGTGTCCACCTCCGAGCCTCGCGCTCGGCGCCCCCGGGCAGGTCGAGCCGCCCCGCGCCCCCCGGCCCCGCCCGCGCCCCCGCCCAAGGCGGCCCGCCCCGCGCCCGGGCCGCGGGCCCCGGGCCGCGGCCGCGCCGCGCCGAGGCCGTGCGGCTGGGACTGCTCGGAGATCAGGGCCCGGATCTCCTGGGTCGCTCGGCGGCGGACAGGCCTCCTCCTCCTCCTCCTGCGTTTCCGCCTCCTTTTTATCCTCCTCCTCCTCCCTCCCTGCTGGGGCTGCCCGGAGATCAGGGCCCGGATCTCCTGGGTCGCTCGGCGGCGGACAGGCCTCCCTTTAGGAGACCTCCCCTTACGATCTTGCAGTCGTGCTCTTCACGATGCTGCAGTCTTTTCTCGGCGGTGGACAAGCCTCCCTTTAGTAAACCTCCCTTTAGTAAGCCTCCTGCGTCGCTCGGCGGTGGACAGGCCTCCCTTTAGTAGACCTCCCCGTAGTGAAAGCGGCCTGGGGCCGAAACCGACGGACCTGTGTCCCCAAGAATGACGGCCGCGGCGCCCTCTCGCGAACCGAAAACGGCCGATTCGCTAATCGACGTGTCAGGGTAGGAGTTCTGTCCATCCCCGAGTCGCGATGGGGGAAGCGGGTCCCGAGGGAAACGCTCCCCGAGGTGTTTTGCCGTTGTGGGCTTACCAGGGCCCTCCACGGGCCCCAGGACCGAAGGCCGAAGAGCTGGTCCTGGGGGAAGGCCCCAGGGTCCAGGACCCGTCTCCGACACGGCCCGCTTCCCCCATACCAGCTAACCTGCGAGAGAACGATGACGGACGAGCGTGCGAGCAAGATGTACAGTCATGGTGCTGCCAGAAGGGGCGCTAGATGGGGAACGAAGGGGCTTTCCCTGGCAACGGCGCGCCTCGGCCACGATTATGCAGGTTCCCCGACCTAGACCTGAAGAACGGCCAGAAAATCAGAGCCACTCTCATTGGCCCAAAGCGGTCCTTGTTTGAGCGACTCGACTGCACGTCCATGTCCACTACATCTTGGAGCTTCAGGCTCCCGTCCCCAGACACCCGAGGCGCAGTGGACACGGAGAACACCTGCCCTCCAGGGGCTGGATGTTCATCTGTGAATCTATGTCCACTGCGCCTCGGCGCCTCGGCCGGTTGGCGTTCCTTCTCAAGAGGTCCACGACGCAGTGAAGATGGAAGCAAACCCGCAGAGCGACCCCGAGGTCCTGGCACGGCGTTTCCTTTCACGCCAGGCGCTCTCGCCCGCCGTCGGGCCCCGAGGCCCTCGCGGATCGATCCCGCCTGAAACACTGGCGCAGCAGAATGGGGCACAGCGCTTCCGGTCGTGATCTTCACGATGCTGCAGTTTTTTCTCGGCGGTGGACACACCTCCCTCTAGTAGACCTCCCTTGAATGAAAGCGGCCTGGGACCGAAGCCGACGGACCTGGACCCGCAAAAATGACGGCCGCGACGCCCCCTCCCCAGATCCTTTTTGTTCGATGGTCCTGGGGTCCGCCGAAACAGGAAGAATGCCTTCTCGAACCCAAAAGCTCGAACCTCGCCCCCCCCTTCCTGCTCGCCAAGAGTAGGCTGGGCCACCTCGGACCCCCAACCCACCCTAAGCCCCACAGAACAAACTGCGCGAAGCATAAGAGAGCAAGAGCAGCGTTGCCCCCTGATCTCCGCGTCGGGGACGAACCACCACTTGCCGGTGGCCGGCGGGCCGTGCGTGCCATCGCCGTCGCCTGGCTCCTTCGAGGGGCCACGCCAGAGGGGGAGACTGAACCAGGGGGGGGACCTCGACGCGCAATCCGCGATACATCACCGACAGATCGGCCATGGGCCCATATCGCAAGTCCTCGAGGATTGCTGAATGGGCCGCTGGCCCAATGTGCCCCCAGCCTGTCGCTCCACGTGGGAGTCCCTGGGGCCCTCTGGACCTCGCGTGGGCCCCCCTGGAAATCCCGGGGGCGCCCTGGGCCACCAGGGGCACCTCCAGCAACATCCAGACTCTGCATGCTCCTGGGCAGGCTGAAGCAGACAGGCCCCATCTCGCCGACGATGAAGGGGCCCCAGGCCACACAAACAAATACACACACATAAAACTACTCCCCATACTTTCCCCTAGTGTCTGGGCTTCTGCCTCCCCCCCCCACACTTCCCATACTTTCCCAGATCTTCAGGGGGATCGACGATTCCCTGTGTCTGTGTCTGTGTTGTTCTCCCTCCTGAGACGAAGGCGCGACTGGGGGCCGATGCACCCCACCCACCCAGAGGAGGAGGAGGAGGGAGGAGGAGGGAGGAGGAGGAGGAGAAGGAGGAGGAGGGAAGAGGAGCAGGAGCAGGAGCAGGAGCAGGAGCAGGAACAGGAGCAGGAGCAGGCGCAGGTGCAGAAGCAGGAGGAGGAGGAGGAGGATGAGGATGAGGATGAGGAGGAGCCCCGCCCCGCCCCGCACGGCGTTCGGCCCAGAGCTCTCGGCCCCTCCGCGCCCGCTCGGCACGAGCCGGGCGCCCCCCCCCCCCCCAGGAGGGCTCCCCGGCGGGGCGCCGCCGCTGGCAGGGGCAAAGTCCCGAGGCTCGACGCCCGCGGAGGACCGACCGACGAACCCATCGAGCGTCCTTCCCCCCCCTCCACGCTCGTCGGCGGTGGACAAACCTCCCTTTTCGTAGACCTCCCCCCAGAGAAAACGGCCTGGGACCGAAACGGACGGACCTGGACCCGCCACAAAATGACGGCCGCGGCGCCCTCCCGCGAACCGAGAACGGCCGATTCCTTACTCGACGTGTCAGGGTAGGAGGTCTGTCCACCCCCGAGCTCGAGGGGCTGGCACAGGGCGACGGCATCGACGTGGCAGCGGCGGCGCAGCGCCGAATAGATCGGAGGTGGGCCCCCCCGTGGTGTGAACTCCGCACCTGCCTGCGCAGGTGGGGCGTCTCGGGCCCCTGTCGGCGATCAAGGGGCGACTGGTCCCTGTCCCCCCTACTGTGGTAGTGGAACCAATTGGTGTTCAAGATATTGGGTCTTTGGAAGCTCTGCGTGGCGACGCCCCCGTCGCCACGCGTGCCCTCTGCGTGCCTGCGGGGGCGCCGCCACGTAGAAGTACTGGAGACCGAGCATTTGGGGCGTCGCTACGCACTCCCTCTGCGTGGCTGCGACCATGTATTAAAACACTAAAAACAATTACATTCATTAATAAAGTATCGTTGCCCCCGAACTCTGCCCCTGTCCCTGATCGGCTACACGCAAGAGTGACCCCAGGCAAAGAGCGACCGCTGGTGCGCGGCTCCGAGGGGGCGCGAGGGAGGCAAACTCAAGCGAGCGATCCGCTTCAGGCCAACACTGGGTGCACCCCAGTGGTTCCGCACCAGAGGTCACTCCGGCGAATGGTCAGTCTTTAGAGGCTTCACAAACGGGGTCCGAGTAGATGGGGTCGGAGGATCGCGCCGCATCGCCGATGCATCTCCGATGCATCGGCGATGCACCTGCGACGTCGGCGAAGCGTCGGCGACGTCGACGTGTAGAAAATCAGGCTCCGCACAGAGCCGCATCGCAGATGCATCGGCGATGCGGCGCGATCCTCCGACCCCGCCGGGGGGTTTTCTCAAAAGGCGGCGGGACTTCTCAGAAGCCCTCGCGCCTTCTGCAAAATGCCCCGTGTTTTCGGGAAGGCTCATAGCACGCTTCTCAGAGGGCCAGGGGGCTGCCGACCCTTCTGAGAAGTCCCGCCCCTTTTCGCCTCCCCCCGGGCTCGCCGCCGATAGAGCAGTCTTACGCAAAGCCAGCCTGATCTTTGGAGTCCCGAAACGGTGCGGTGACAGACCGTGCGGTGGCCTCAAGATGCCCCAAGACCTCACCGCACGGTGCGTCCACGCACGGTCTCGCGGGACCTCGGATGCCCCAGTCGCCCGAGACGTCCTCGGAGAACGACCCGGGCCCCAAAGCCGTGCGGTGACCCCGCATCCCCACCGACTCGCCTCGGGCCGGGCGAAAGGGGGGGATAGCAAAGGGGGGGGTTTGAGAATCAGCTCACGTAGCTGATCTTCCTGGCGCCTCCCGGCGCCGGAGGCGCCCATGTATCGAGGAATGGGCCCCTCGGTGGGGCCGAAACCAGCTGCACGCAGCAGATTTCGTAACCCCCCCTTTCCCAATCCCCCCCTTTCGCCCGACCCGAGACTCGCCGCACGGTGCGGTCATCACCCCGTTTGGGGCCCGCGATGATCCTCAAGGTCGGCGTCGCTGTCCGTGTCGCCGGCGGCGGGCGCCGCCCCGCGGCGGGGCGCCCCGCGCGCCGCGGCCGGCGGCGGCATCGCCGCTGCCGTCGGAGCTCGGGCTGGGGCGGGCCGAGGCCGCAAGCTCGGGACGGAATCAGGCGAGAGAGAAACAAAAGACACACACACACACACACTTCACAAACACGTGCAAACACACACACAAACACACACAACACATTCACATTCACATTCACATTCACATTCACATTCACATTCACATTCACATTCACATTCACATTCACATTCACACTCACACTCACACTCACACTCACACTCACACTCACACTCACACACACGCACCTAACACAAATACACACACACACACCTCACACACATGAAGCACATGGGAGGTAGAGGGGAAGACGACCATCCAGAAACTATTGAGACAGAGTGGGGATCTGGGTATTTGTGTCGATGTGCTTGCGTCTCCCTGGGCCCCTTTGCGACGGGCTGGCGCCGGCGGTCGAAGGCCGAGGTCGCCGGGGCACCCACGTCGAGGGCCGAGGGCCGAGGGCCCCCAGATCGACGGCCCACGCCGCGACAAAACACATGCGACACCCGAGGGGACGGGAGGGATGGAGGAGGAGGAAGAGGAGGAGGAGGAGGAGGAGGAGGAGGAGGAGGAGGAGAGCAAGGAGGGGATCCCGAGGACTTCTCAGCACCCCCTCCTTGCTCTCCTTGCTCATCCCTCCCTGCTCATCCCCCCGCCTTGCCCACCTCGGCAACACGGGCAAAAAAGGTTGGGGAAACCGTGGGGTCGGGGCCTGCTGCAATTCCCCACATGCTTCGTGGGGTTCTGGTTTTCTTCCTTGCCGCGCCGCACCCGCGACACTCACCTCACCTCTCTCCTTCTCACACAGCGCAGCACAGCACAGCACAGCACAGCACAGCACAGCACAGCACAGCACAGCACAGCGCAGCGCAGCACAGCACAGCACAGCACAGCACAGCACAGCACAGCACAGCACAGCACAGCACAGCTCAACGCAGCACAGCACAGCAAAAAAACACGGGGGGTGCGCAGGGGGTTATCTGTCACCGCGGTCCCTATACGCGCCAATGTCGCAGGGCCTAGCAGGCGTGGCACTTTCTCGACACCAGAGGGGGTGCGCAGGGGGTGGTCTCTCACCGCGGTCTCTATACGCGCCAATGTCGCAGGGCCTAGCAGGCGTGGCACTTTCTCGACACCGAGGGGGTGCGCAGGGGGTGGTCTCTCACCGCGGGCTCTATACGCGCCAATGTCGCAGGGCCTAGCAGGCGTGGCACTGTCTCGACACCAGAGGGGGTGCGCAGGGGGTGGTTTCTCACCGCGGTCCCTATGCGTGCCAATGTCGCAGGGCCTAGCAGGCGTGGCACTTTCTCGACACCGGAGGGGGTGCGCAGGGGGTGGTCACTCACCGCGGTCTCTATACGCGCCAATGTCGCAGGGCCTAGCAGGCGTGGCGCTTTCTCGACACCGGAGGGGGTGCGCAGGGGGTGGTCTCTCACCGCGGTCTCTATACGCGCCAATGTCGCAGGGCCTAGCCTAAGTCGTGGTACATTCTCGACACCAGAGGGGGTGCGCAGGGGGTGGTCTCTCACCGCGGGCTCTATACGCGCCAATGTCGCAGGCCCTAGCAGGCGTGGCACTTTCTCGACACCGGAGGGGGTGCGCAGGGGGTGGTCTCTCACCGCGGTCCCTATACGCGCCAATGTCGCAGGGCCTAGCAGGCGTGGCACTTTCTCGACACCACAGGGGGTGCGCAGGGGGTGGTCTCTCACCGCGGTCTCTATACGCGCCAATGTCGCAGGGCCTAGCAGGCGTGGCACTTTCTCGACACCGGAGGGGGTGCGCAGGGGGTGGTCTCTCACCGCGGTCTCTATACGCGCCAATGTCGCAGGGCCTAGCAGGCGTGGCACTTTCTCGACACCGGAGGGGGTGCGCAGGGGGTGGTCTCTCACCGCGGTCCCTATACGCGCCAATGTCGCAGGGCCTAGCAGGCGTGGCACTTTCTCGACACCAGAGGGGGTGCGCAGGGGGTGGTCTCTCACCGCGGTCCTATACGCGCCAATGTCGCAGGGCCTAGCAGGCGTGGCACTTTCTCGACACCGAGGGGGTGCGCAGGGGGTGGTCTCTCACATACGCGCCAATGTCGCAGGGCCGCAGGCGTGGCACTTTCTCGATACGCGCCAGTCGCAGGGCCTAGCAGGCGTGGCACTTGCGCAGGAGGTGGTCTCTCACCGCGGTCTCTATACGCGCCAATGTCGCAGGGCCTAGCAGGCGTGGCACTGTCTCGACACCAGAGGGGGTGCGCAGGGGGTGGTCTCTCACCGCGGTCCGTCTACGCGCCAATGTCGCAGGGCCTAGCAGGCGTGGCACTTTCTCGACACCACAGGGGGTGCGCCAGGGGTGGTCTCTCACCGCGGTCTCTATACGCGCCAATCTCGCAGGGCCTAGCAGGCGTGGCACTTTCTCGACACCGGAGGGGTTGCGCAGGGGGTGGTCTCTCACCGGGGGCCCTATACGCGCCAATGTCACAGGGCCTAGCAGGCGTGGCACTGTCTCGACACCAGAGGGGGTGCGCAAGGGGTGGTCTCTCACCGCGGTCCGTCTACGCGCCAATGTCGCAGGGCCTAGCAGGCGTGGCACTTTCTCGACACCAGAGGGGGTGCGCAGGGGGTGGTCTCTCACCGCGGGCTCTATACGCGCCAATGTCGCAGGGCCCAGCAGGCGTGGCACTTTCTCGTCACCAGAGGGGGTGCGCAGGGGGTGGTCTCTCACCGCGGTCTCCATACGCGCCAATGTCGCAGGGCCTGAGGTGCGCAGGGGGTGGTCTCTCACCGCGGTCCCTATACGCGCCAATGTCGCAGGGCCTAGCAGGCGTGGCACTCTCTCGGCACCAGAGGGGGTGCGCACGGGGTGGTCTCTCACCGCGGTCCCTATACGTGTCAATGTCGCAGGGCCTAGCAGGCGTGGCACTCTCTCGACACCGGAGGGGGTGCGAAGGAGGTGGTCACGCACCGCGGTCTCTATACGCGCCAGTGTCGCAGGGCCTAGCAGGCGTGGCAATTTCTCGACACCGCAGGGGGTTCGCAAGGGGGTGGTCTCTCACCGCGGCCCCTATACGCGCCAATGTCGCAGGGCCTAGCAGGCGTGGCACTTTCTCGACTCCAGAGGGGGTGCGCACGGGGGTGGTCTCTCACCGCGGTCTCTATACGCGCCAATGTCGCAGGGCTTAGCAGGCGTGGCACTTTCTCGACTCCGGAGGGGGTGCGCAGGGGGTGGTCTCTCACCGGGGTGGTCCCTCACCGCGGCCGCTATGCACGACGATCGTCCAGGGCATAGCAGGCGCGGCATTGTCTCGACACCATAAAGGCTGCGCAGGGGGTGGTCCCTCACCGCGGCCGCCATGCACGACGGTCGTCCAGGGCATAGCAGGCGTGGCACTTTCTCGACACCATGGAGGGTGCGCAGGGGGTGGTCCCTCACCGCGGCCGCTGGCTGGCTCGAATCTGTCCTCGATGGAGGATAGAAGGCTAGGAAGAGGGAGGAGGTTCAAGCAATATGGCGTTGGATGACACAGAGGGGAACATTCGCGACGAGGGCTGAGAACGCAGAATTGCGCATATATGATAAACTTAAGCAAGCACATACGATTTAAATCAAATATGTGGGGTTCCTCGGTAGCGTAATTTGTAAACGCCGGGCGTTTTTGCCTGTCGTCGGGCCCAGGGGCCAATAGAAATTGATCTGGCTCCAAAAACGCAGCAGGAAGATGGTCTAGGACTCCGGTCGTGATTTCTCGCAATGCTGAATTTATCCCTCGTGCCATCCAGGTGGTGTTGCGTTCTCGTTTTGAATCAACAATGCCCCGCGTCTCCTTTTCTCTTGCGCCCCGTCCCTCTCCCTGCCTATGCCCTCTCACTGCGATCAGCAATGCCCCTGCGCCTCCTCCATCCTCTCTCCGCCCCATCCCTGTTTTTGCCCTCCGCATGCGCACTTCGGCACGCACGTTCCTCACGGGCTTCGTGGCCGATGGACCCAACCGCTGAGTTCGCATGGCGTGGCTGAAACCGATGTCGGCACCCCCCCCACACGTTTCGTGGCCCCACCGAGGCTCCACCGAAGGCCCCCGTGGCTGCGTTCACATGGCGGCACCGCAACCATCTCGGCGCATCCTTTTCACACGCTTCGTAACCCTAGGGAGAGTTCCGCCGAAGGCCCCAAACGCTGCGTCCGCATGGCGTTGCCGCACCCAGTTTGGCACACCCATCAAACGCTTCGTGACCCCAGGAGGACGTCCGCCGAAAAACCAGGCGGGTGGGGTTGGCGTGGCGTCGCCGCGCCGAGTTCGGCAAACGCTTCGCACACATCGTGGCCCCATTGGGAGCTCCGCCGAAGGCCACAATCGCTGCTCTCGCGGCACCGCACCCATCTCGGCGCCCCCCTCGTACGCTTCGTAACCCTAGGGAGACTTCCGCCGAAGGCCCCAGCGGCTGCGTTCGCATGGCGGCACCGCACCCATCCCGGCGCCCCTCTCGCACGCTTTGCGGACCATAAGGAGCTCCGCCGAAGATCCCAATGACTGCGCTCGCGCAGCGTCGCCGCGCTCATGTTGGCACACCCCTCGCACGCGGTGGCCCCATGGCGGGATTCCACCGATGGCCCCAATGGCTGCGTTCGCATGGCGTCGCCGCACCGATGTCGGCACGCACGCGCGAACACGCGCGCGCGCACGCGCGCGCACACGCGCGACCGCGCACACACACACACACAAACACACACACACACACACACACGCACGCACGCACGCACGCACGCACACGCCCGCACGCACACGCACGCACACGCACACACGCACACGCATACGCACGCGCGCGCACCGTCACCCACGCACGCACACGCACAAGCACGCGCGCACGCACACGCACGCACGCACGCACGAGCTTACGCGCGCACCCGCGCACAAAAAAAAGCACGCGCGTTTCGTGGCCCTTTAAGGAACTCCGCGCCCAGCGTTCGCACGGCGTCGCCGCGCCAACATCGGCGCGCCCCT